TGACGTAAACAAAGTCAAGCCACTCCTCAATGTTACTAGTACTTCATTTATTCCTTGGATTCATCAGTTGTATATTATTATATACTATTTATTGTCCACCTTAAATTTATTTTCCTTTGAAAACATGCATGCTATCAGTTGCCTCAAAAATGGCTTACACTTTTAGATTATTTTGAAAGGGGATGAGTGGTTGGCCTTGGCATTATGGAAATTGAAAACGACCAAGGAGCTCACTACTTACAAGATGATGTTCTTAGGCAAGCCCACCAATTTCAATTTTAAATTCAATTACTGCAGGAGCTAATGTTTTCCATTCTGAAGAATTGGGAAGATTTTTGAAACAAGGAGTTGCTGATATTGAAATGAGGTTTTTCTGTAAGCTAGAACTGGAATGTAGATGACCTTTGCTGAATTAAGCAAGCTTTTAATTTGACTAAATCAAGCTGCAGTTTTACAAGTTTTTTTATTTAGGAAAGCAGAACTTACCCTTTAAGTATCTAAATTACCTCTTCAAAATTGTATTGTGATGCCTACTTGGTTTGCTGTTTTTATTGTTTGGGACAAGGAATCAAAACCGATATGTTAGGCTATCTCTATGCTTCATTTTACTTGAGCAAAGTTACGCATTTTGATAGTGATATACTAGTCTATTCCTTTACTATCTGTGATGTTAGTTGCCTTAGAATTAAATTATTATTTCTCGTTCCTTCCTTCTCTTGATTAATACATATTGGTTGCGTTAAAGACTGTCTAAATTTTTGTCATATATTCTGCAATTTTAAAATTTTTTTTCCAGAACTTATAGATTTGTATAGCTTTGTGTTATTATTTTACTTTGATTTCATTTCAGCAATTCACTTATCCATCTTTCCTTTCTATGTTACAATTGATACTTTTTGTTTTCTTAAAACTCTAAATGAATTATTTTCTCAAATTTCAGTCTAACCTTTGATTTTTCTAATTTCCCATCCTTTTTTTCATGTTCCCAGTTGCTTGTGCAGAGCACAAAGCAAAATCTTGTTAGGCCTATGTAGGACCCCTTTGTTTTCTTACTCCCTTTTTCCCTTTATGTGCCAGAAGTTATGAGCATACTCTAAATTGTAGGGGTACTGCTTGTACCCTGTTTGATATTTCATTTGCTGACAAAAAAAAAAAAATGTCATGTGCTTGCTCATTTCTATTCTAATTGATTTTCGTTGTCCGGTATTTGTTTTACCAGCTATTTGTATGACCATTTTTCTTATCTTAATTTTGATTCCAATGCATGGAGATATCAAGAAGTTAGTCTCCCACACAAGTTCCCTTGCTTGCCTCCATTCCCATCTTATTTATCTCACATTTCCCATAATTTTAGTGATTGCTTCCTTTCTACCATGTAACGTCCAACTTAGTTCATGTTTTAAATCTTATAGCATCTGATTAAACCCTTTACCTTTTTCAAGTCAACTACAGGATTAATTAAAAGGTTGATCTAAGATTCCAAGTTCAAGCCTCCCTTTTTAGGCAAGATATTTCTTCAACAAGTAGGTCCTAGATGCTTCGACATTAATGTTACCTTTCATATGGGAGATGATGCTTCCAGTATGATGAGTCAGAAATGAATGATCCAACTGTGTACTGTGTTCCCTCTGTATTCATCCTAAGTCACATCCAAGATTGCAGCACAAACACCACTACATTATCTGCTGCTTTACCTAACAATGGGCTGACTTGGAAAGTAGCTTCAAGATTTAACAAGTTGATGAAAAATGGTGGTGTTCACAAATCTATCGTAGTTGCTGGCTTGCAGCTATAATCTTCTACCCTCCAAAGAATGCCCTCTCTGGTTAGGCAGGGTTCACTTTCTCATCCCTCGGTTGTTCGGAGTAATTCTCTATCATTTCATCATCAAGATAATGCTAAGCTTTAATTCATTTTTGCAAGACATGGATTTTCTTTGAGTTTCTCTAGTAACTTCCCTTGATCAATTCCCTAAATCAAGGACAATTCAAGGATATATATAAAGGTGGATGGAGTAAAGCTTCGAGGCAGCATTATGCACAAATCATTTCGAGGTGCATTGTCACATTTTAATCCTTTAACATGCGCAAATTTTAAAATTTTAAATCAAGTCGTTAGTTGTAGGAGAACTTATTATTAGGCTAATTTATGCCATACTCAACTATGTTAACTAACCATTTTAGTTTCTTATTTCTTCAGGATTCTTGTGTTGTATCTATCCATCCATCTGGTGTTAAGAAAACTCTTCATGAACGCATACATGAACTGCATGGAGCTGGGACTTTGGATGTAACAAGTCAGTGGAGCTTTGAATAACAGCTTGTGGCTGGTTTTGATCAACATTGCAAAAACAGTGTAGAGACTGTGAGAGTGAGTTGCAACAGGAAGGTTAGTAGAGGAGTCAGGGTTCTACTCGATGTCAACAGTGATTTGGTCTCCAATTCCTCTTGGTACACAATCAGCACACTTTATGAGATTCCCAATTTGATTGGAGATTTTGACTTCTAGCTTTATTTTGGTGATGATTAATACCTTAGTGATCCAACAATTTTATTCTTAATGACTTATTTTTGTGTACAACCTCTAGTGTTTCCTAAAGTAGAGGAAACTTTGTAATAATGCTATTTTTAAAGTGTGTGTTTTACTGGATTAGATTTCGTGATTTTTTCCACTAAAAGAATTATCACATTAAAAAATCTAGTGTCTTATTTTTGTGGATGTGATAATTTTTATTTTTGTTAGTTGTTTGACTTATTTTTGAGTTTGATTATTTTCCATTTAATTGCATAGACAGAAGAATACCAGTTGAATGTGTTATATACGCAAATGGGTTTTTTGTTCCATGAATCCCCAAAAGCTGGAAAAGCTTGCTTTTATCTTTGTTATACCTTTTCAAATTCAAGTTATTAGTTGTGCTGGATGGATTCTTTGGTGGTAGATCATAATTGAACTTGAGTATACCCTTCAACCCAAACACGGCTTTAGGATTTGATTCATATACGTATTTTTGAATTCAACTGAGTAAAACATATGATTCTTATTCTTAAAAAAAGAAAGGTAAATTATTTATATCCTGAAGGAGTATTACTTAAAATTAGGAAGAGAATGATCTCTGATATCCTATGGCTGTGAATAGTTTTATATATAAGAAATGAAATATTAACATCATTGGTACACTCACTTCAATTGAATACTACTCTGGAGCTGGAAAGGTCAGGGATAATATCTAATCTAGAACAGCCTAGCTGAATGATCTTTTATTTATTATCCTTATAGCCACGCCTGTTGTAGACGTATCCGGGTGAACCCATGTGAACCATCACCCTCTTGAAGTCCACAAGTCAATCATCTAAGCAAATCATTTCAAAAAGTTAGCACAACAGCACCGCACGTCACCTACAAAAGTCAAGACAAGAATATCAGTTGAAAAGCTAACTGTTAGTAACAACCCTAAGAATGAGTTACCTTGTAATCAGTCTCTGCTATATATACTTATATTACAAGTGATATCTAATATTTAAATTTGAGATTTTTTATTTTTTTATTTTTTAGCCTAAGGAAAATATGTAAAATGAAGCATTTGAATGACAAGTTAAACCTTGGGACTGTAATCTTGGGATTCTTGAAATGCCATGACATCCAAGCCTTTGACAGGGTTTAAAACAATCTTTTGTTCTAAAGCAGCATTGTCAGATTAAGAACCACCCATGGATTGGTCTCTATATAAATATACTAAAATGGAAATCAAGGGCTCAAGGGCAATTATGTTCACATGCAAATTCCTATTACTTGTCTTCCAAGTTGGAGAGTCATATACTACCATATCCACAAAGAGATGAATGCAAGAAAGGTAAATAAATTAGCACAGATATAACATCTAGTTTAAATTGAAAAGACGCAAAGATTGAGCAGATATAGAAGAACATATAAAGAAATCTTACCACACTGCTCCCACTTTATCAAAATTCACCAGCCATGTGCTTGAATCAGTCTGTGTAGATAATACACAATCTACCCAAACCCGAAACCTTTTTCCCTGCTTGTCTCCATACCACCCTTTCAATTCATGTATGCGTTCATGTAGAGGTTTCTCAACACCAGTAGGACGGACAGTTACAGCAGATGGATCCTGAAAAAAGAAAAATTAAAATGGTGGTTCTAGGTACAGCTATATAAAGTACATTTTGGTCAAGCATTAAAGCTAAAAAGTTTTCTTCACCTACCAGTTTATTATTTTAGGATAAATTTGCTTTCCTAATTTTCACAATAAAAGCTATATACTTCTATGTTCTATCTATACCTATACTCAAGTTAATTCATCAGCCAACATTCCAAACTACCAGGGACTTTTTATTTTCACATGGGCATGATATATATAAAGCATGCAGAGTAGGGATACATTCTCAACATCATGATAATCAACCTGCAGAAAGAGCACCATGTGGAATTAAAGTAACTAATAGCAGTACAAGCATGACATCACTCTGGAGTGAAGCAAGAAATTATGAAACCTACCATTGTATGATCAAGATCAAAAACTATCATAGGACGTGCAGAAGCACTGAGCCAATCCATGACCACTCTACTGCAACCTTTAACCCTACAACCAAATTAATAACTACCACAATTAGACGCTTCTATGTGAATTTAAGTTATGAATTCTACAAAATGGAACAAGTTTGAAATCACAACACCTAGAAGTAAAAATGCATGGAACCATGGAAATCGAAAGCAGTTGCAAGATTCTATATATTCTTACGGTTAAAATTTAAGGTATGAATACTACAAAATGCCAGAAATCTTAGAAACGAGTTTCAAAACCAAACACAAACAGGCAGAACGAATCGAATCATTGGGATCGGAAACAAAAACACAATACAACATTCAGAAAACAGGAAAATCGATTCAAAGTTTCAGAAAATCACCTGTGATCGGATTGATATAAGGATTACAGTTCAGGGATTCCAGTGATATAGCAGGAACAAGAAACGAATAGAACAAGTAAAGTGCATTGAATCCCTGAAATTGAAAACAAAAAATTTAGCGAACAAGAAAGCTTTACCTGCCTACAATTGAAACGGAATTTACCTTTAATTTTCCCCAAATCCCTTTGATTTTTGCAGAATTTCGCCTTCCATCCACAATTGAGTCCTCAATCGATCATATTTCCCTTCAACCATGTTTTTCTTCCATAGAGTTTTGTCATCTTTCAACGCATATACATGTTTTTCTGGTGCATGAAATAGAGAAGGGTTAAAGAAAGCTGGAATCCGTTCTTGGTCTCAAAGGAAGAAATGGGGACCGGAGGAGGGGAGCAGATTCCATTTTAGGATGTTCTTTTGAAAAACCCTTTAAATCCATTCTAAAATTAGAGAGGGAAAAAGTTCGTAAGCCACCGGATGAAATCATTTCCGGTTTAGGGATCTGATACTGGTGTTACGTGGCAACACGGTGGGGAGAGTGACGGAGCGAGTGGCGAAGGGCGACTATCCTTAGCGTTGCTCTAGCCAAAATTTTAGACTACTGTTTGGTTTCACCCCTTTAGTTTCGCCAATGAGTGCCACATCATTAGTTAATGCCATGTCATATCCTACGCCACTATTTATTTTGTTAGAGTCATGAGTTGAATAACCAAAATGTTGATTTTGATAAAGTTGGATGACTACCCAATAAATTCACCCATTAATGAACTATGAACATTTCTGGAAAAATCTAGTTTGTATAATGGTATAAGAATCTAGCCAAAAATATATATAATGGAATAAGAAAGTTTTTAATCTAATATGAAGGAAAAAAAAAAAACAATTCTAATATTTGGTTGTCATGGAGGTTTGAACTCTTATCATCAATCTTAATAATAAAATTTTTAATATTATAAAATTATAAATTCTCTAAAATATTGGGAGCAAATTGTCATCTTTACCAAAATTGAAGAAGATGCAATTTTTCCTAGTTAATATGCATGTTGTACATAATCAAGGTTCAAGTAAGTAAAACTTAGTGTTTCTTTAAAAAGTTACATATTCTTTCATTTTAATGCAAATGACAATTTAATCTAAACTTTAAACATTTTAAAACATTTATAATTTTATAATATTAAAAATCTTATTATAAAAATTGATAATAGGAATTTAAATTTCTATAACAATTACGTAATACTAATAATTTAGTTAACAGAAAAATCATCTTCCAATTATGAAGTTTACATTCACCTACTTTTCCATCAAATATCAGCAATTAAATCCTTAATAATTATTATTTCTTAAATGAAGTGGTAAGGAAGCTCCTCAATTTCTTGAACTATCAACACAAAGTTGGCCTTAAATGGCAATCGGTCATCTGCCGCAAATAAATGGTGAATAGGGATATCAACGGGGTCCCACGGAACCGGGGAGTCCGTCTCCGTCCCCATCCCCGTCCCCATCTCCATCCTCGTTCTCGTCCCCACCATTCCCCGTGGAGATTTTTTATGAGGGATAAATTTTGCTTTCCATCTCTATTCCCCGTCAATTAATACCAAAATATATATTTTTTGCATCAAATATAAATAAAAATTAATTTAACATAAATAATTAAATCAAAAAAAAGGGAAAATTGAAGGTGAGATCATGAGAGTAAGTGAGGAGAAATTGTAGAAGGAGAGGAGGGGAAGGTCGAAGGTGAGGTGAGAGTTTGATTGTCTGACCGAGACAAGAGTAAGTGAGGGACTGAAGTGAGGGCTGTGGCTGCACTGCTGCATGAGTGAGGAGAAAGGGAAATAATAAGGTTAGGAAATTAGGGTTGGAAGGAGGATGATGGGTTGGGTAAAATTTAATTTTTATTGAATTTGGTTTGAGTTTTATTTTAAAGGTTAAATTAAATTTAAAATATACATTTTTTTAATTTTTTGTTAGGATGGGGATCTCCGTGGGGTCCCGTGGGGTGGAAAAAATTCTCCGTGAAATTTTATAGGAAGAAAATTCCCTCCATCCCCGCCCCATTCCCGCGACGGGGATCCCCACGGAGCCCCGCGGGGATTGGAGGAAATTGCCACCCCTAGGTGAATCTTTGTTTTTCTTATATTGTTCACATCTGATTTTTTTTTTTTTTTTAACATGATTTGAACTGAAATTCAATGAAAAGTCTTATGTAGGGGGCAATTACTTGTCTTAACAAGACTTCTCCCATATCTGATGAGTTTAAAAGTGAAATAACTCAAATTTCGAAATCTTTAATTTTATTTAAAAGGATTATAAAAGTTAGAAAATACCTTTTCTAGCCTATACTTGAAAATTAATATACTACAAGTTTCATCTTCTTTTTTTATTTTTGGACAATTTGCATCATCGTGACGTACAAAGATTATTATTAATTGAAAGAGATATCAGCGTTGTTGAATTAATTTTACTTTAATAAG